CAAACCACACTGCCCCGGATCCGCAAACCACACTGCCCGGCTCCACAAACCACACTGCCCGGCTCTGCAAACCACACTGCCCGGATCCGCAAACCACACTGCCCGGATCCGCAAACCACACTGCCCGGATCCACAAACCACACTGCCCGGATCCACAAACCACACTGCCCGGATCCACTAACCACACTGCCCGGCTCCACAAACCACACTGCCCGGATCCACTAACCACACTGCCCGGCTCCACAAACCACACTGCCCGGCTCTGCAAACCACACTGCCCGGATCCGCAAACCACACTGCCCGGATCCGCAAACCACACTGCCCGGATCCACAAACCACACTGCCCGGCTCCGCAAACCACACTGCCCGGATCCGCAAACCACACTGCCCGGCTCTGCAAACCACACTGCCCGGCTCTGCAAAACCACACTGCCCGGCTCCACAAACCACACTGCCCGGATCCACTAATTTTTCAGAAGCAAACTTGTGTGTCTCCTGCAAAACCATCCAGCACGGTTTGTCCCACTGTTCCTTCTTGAATCTGGTTTTCTTATTCTTAAAGACTGATTTACTTATTTGAGAGGCAGAGTTACAGACAGAGAGAGGGAGAGACAGAGAGATCTTCCTTCCACTGGTTCACTCCCCAAATGGCCACAACAGCCAGAACTGGGCCGATCTGGAGCCAGAAGCCAGGAGCTTCTTCCGGGTCTCCCACACAGCTGCAGGGGCCCAAGGACTTGGGACATTTTCCACTGTTTTCCCAGGTGCACTGGCAGGGAGCTGGGTTGGAAGTGGAGCAGCCCATATGAGATGATGGTGTTGCAGGGGCAGCTTTACCCGCTACGCCACAACACCAGCCCCAATACATCTTCAAAAAGAAAAAAGGGTCTGTGGGAGTCTGGGCCACCAGGAAGGGGAGGGCATGGGGGAGGCTCATCCCAGATGGAGGAGTCCAGGGACCCCCCAGGCTTACCTGGGCTCAGGCCTAGCAGCTCCCCAGGACTGGGGCACCAGCGTGCGGGGCAGCGAGGTCAGTGAGAGGCACGGTCACGCCAGGCACTGCCCAGCACCGGCAGCTTTCCCATCTCACCCTGCGGCACTGAGGTCGTGGAGGTGACTTGTGCTCCTAAGCCATCGTCTGCTCCCCGTGTCTCCCCTTGACAGACCCGTTTCTCATCTGCAGTGCACCTGGCGAGAACGCTATACTGCCCAGACTCCCTTGCAGCCAGCACGGTGCCACAGAACACACGTCTACACTGAGCACGGAGCAGAGGGCGCTGGGGGAACTGAGAGGATGCACACCTCCTCCTCCTCTCCTCCTCCTCCTCCCTGTGAGGCAGACAACGCCGGAGTGGTGCAGCCACCCTGCAATGAAGACAAGGAAGGCGGAACGCAGACACAAAGGGGACTACGGGATGCCTGCCCCTGCCATGGGGTCTGTAAGGGCACTGTCAGGTGGCCACACCTTGTTTTCCAAGAACTTCTGGCTCTGCACAAAAACAAGCAAACAAAAACAAAACGCTCTTTGGTTAAGCCACTGCCTCGGTCTCCCGTGGCTGCCCAAACTCAGCGGCACAAGCCGGGCGCCTGTAAACCAGAGCAGCGGCAGAGAGCCCCGGTATCAGGGTGCCCTGGGGGCCACGCTGTACTCCGTGAAGCCTCTAGGGGGCGACCGTCAGCGTCCCCTGGGTCCCTTTTGTCCTCCCCTGCCTCGGGGAGCTGGGAGCCAGGCAGGCAGGGACTTCACACAGGTGTCACAGGAGCTGCTGCGAAGGACCTCCCGGTCAGAATTTCCCGGCTAAGCCACTTCTGACAACCTTGTCCTTCCTTGCCATGGCCATCCCCAGTGGACACACTGCGACAAGCCCTGGAGCCAGCGGCCTGGGTGGACCCTCCCCTCCGGCCCTGAAGTGTCCTCTCTCTTGGCTGAGCCCACGGTCTTCCCAGCACATCCATCCCGACGGCAACCCCGGGATGATCCCAAATAAACGCTCCGTTCCTGGAGAGGCCGCCTCCGTGTCGCTCCTTGCAGCTGACCCCTCTCTCCCGCCTTCTGATGGCTCCAGCTACCCGTGGCATCCCGGGCTAGGAGCTGAGCTGCCATCTCCCAAACCTGCCTGTCCTCACGCAGCCCCCTTTCCCTCGTGTTCCTGCGTGTGGGCCTCTGTCTCCAATGTCCTTTTTTTTCCCCAAGATTTATTTATTTATTTGAAAGGTAGAATTACAGACAGAGGCAGAGAGAGAGAGAGAGAGAGAGAGAGGTCTTCCATCTGCTGCTTCATTCCCTAGTTGACTGCAATGGCCAGAGCCGGGCTGATCCAAAGCCAGGAGCCAGGAGCTCCTTCCGGGTCTCCCACATGGGTGCAGGGCCCAAGGACCCAGGACATCTTCCACTGCTTTCCCAGGCCATAGCAGAGAGCTGGATCTGAAAAGGAGAAGCTGAGACTCGAACCAGCGCCCACATGGGATGCCGGCACTGCAGGTGGTGGCTTTACCCCCACACACACCACAGCGCCAGTCCAGTGTCCCCTTTCATAAGGACATCAGTCTTGCTGGGTCAGGACCTGTGCCCTGATGGCCTCACCTTACCTTGGTTAAACCTACAGAGACCTGATCCCAAATGCAGCTGCATCCTGAGGTTCTGGGGTTAGGGCCTCGCCACATTAACCCACACCAGCACTGGGATGCGGGTTCCTGTACAGGCACCTGCAGGGGCTCCCGTCCCATCTCAGGGGACGGACCCGCCACCGCGACACAAGGCAGACTGCGTTCCTCTGTCTTTGCCTGAGGTATGGCAAACTGAGCACCCTGGGGGTAGGGCAGGGGCACCCCAAGTACTGGCTGGATGAAAGGTCAGATTGCCGGGCGGCGTGGAGGAAGACCCGGAGGGGATGGGAGTGGAGGGCGCGCAGGGGCCCCGGGGAGCCCTGGCAATGGGGCTGTGGGTAGAGATTCTGGCTGCGACTCCCAGGGAGCACAAGGCGTCACCAGCACCCCAGCAGCCCCTGTGCTGTTCGTGAATTCCACTCTGCGCGTCTGTAGCGGGCACGCCCTGGCCACACCTCCGAGGAGGGCACAGCTGAGGGGTCTTGAACAGCACACACTACCTGCGGTGCAGCCCCTCCAACTTCACCTGCCGGCTCCAGAGGCCCGCAGTGCCCGTCTCCCTCACTCCTGGGCCCCACTCAGCGAACCCCGCACACAGCGCTGCAGCAAATGTGGGGCCTGTGGAGGGGCAGCCCTCGCCCGTCCCGGGAGCGCGCCGGCCCCGCCCACCCCTACCCTCCCCCAGGCTCCGTCCCACCCATCGCCTCTCTCCCAGGCTCTGCCCTCCCATCCCCTCCCTCCCAGGCCCCGCCCCACCCCCTCCCTCCCAGGCTCCGCCCCCATCCCCTCCCTCCCAGGCTCCGCCCCATCCCCCTCTCCCAGGCTCCGCCCTCCCATCCCCTCCCTCCCAGGCTCCACCCTCCCATCCCCTCCCTCCCAGGCTCCGCCCCACCCGTTCCCTCTCTCCCAGGCTCCGCCCCCATCCCCTCCCTCCCAGGCTCCCTACCCGTCCCCTCTCTCCCCTCCCTCTCCCCAGGCCCCGCCCCACCCGCCCCCTTTCGGAGCTCGGCTGGCTCCGGGTCCGAGGTGGCCGCAGAGTGCGCCGTGGACCACCGGGAAAGCCACAGGCCATCCCACCCGCAGGAAGTGCTGCAGGCACCCTGACTTGCAGCTGTCAAAGCCAGGTGGGGCCGAGAGAGGACACAGACTCCCAGACTCCCTGCCAGGGAGGCTTCTCGCAGGTGGGGGTGAGACACCCAGGCCGTGGTTAGCAGGAGCAGAGGGAGCAGACTCTGAGCCACCAGGACGGCGGGACCCAGGGGGCTCCCCTGAGTCACCGGGTGAGACAGGGCTGCCGGGCGGGACCCCGAGGTCCGGGGTGGGACAGGCTGGCGGGGGACCTCGGGGGCTCCCCTGAGTCACCGGGTGAGACAGGGCTGGCGCGGGACCTCGGTGGCCCCCCTGTGTCACCGGGTGAGACAGGGCTGGCGGGGGACCTCGGGGGCTCCCTAGTCACCGGGTGAGACAGGGCTGGCGCGGGACCTCGGTGGCCCCCCTGAGTCACCGGGTGAGACAGGGCTGGCGGGGGACCTCGGGGGCTCCCCTGAGTCACCGGGTGAGGCAGGGCTGGCGGGCGGGACCGGGCTGGCAGGGGACCCCGGGGCTCCCCTGTGTCACCGGGTGAGACAGGGCTGGCGGGGGACCCCGGGGGCTCCCCTGAGTCACCGGGTGAGACAGGGCTGGCGCGGGACCTCGGGGGCTCCCCTGAGTCACCGGGTGAGGGGGCCAGCGCAGGAGCCGGGCGCATGGCCCCTCGCGGGTCCTGCAGCTTACACAGGATGACCGAGACTCAGTGGCTGCGAGGGAGCACTCGGGCCCCACGTGCACCTGCTTTTAGGTGCAGACTCCCTGGTCCCCCCGCCCCCGCAGCACAGCTGTTCCGGCAACACTGAGGTCACCCGAGCTGCTGCAAGATCCCGCAGGTGACCGCTCGTGCAGGTCACGTAGACACGAGGGCGTGAGCGACCCGGGGGTGTCGTGGGCCCGTCCTCCCTGGGTACTCGGGGCCCCCGGCCGGCTCTCCGGCGCCCACTCCGACCGCACTCGACTGGCCTCAGCGACGCCCAGAGGACAACCGGAAACCTACGTCATCAAGACCCGACTTGCTTCACCTGCAAAGCTCTAACGGGCCAGAGTCGGGGCCAGATCTGGTTGGCCCTCTTGCTTGTCAATAATCTGAACCCGGACGTCATTGGACAAGAGGAGCCGGAGCGGGGTGTGGAGGGGTGCCGCCGCCCCGGCCTTTGTACTACCGCTGGCTGGGCCCTCACTTCCGTCTGCGGCGCGAGGGCCGCCGGGAGCCCCCGAAGGAACGTCCAATGGCTGCGGCTCTGGCAGAGGCGCGGGGGTGGTCGGGATTCCGGAAGGCGTGCCCCATGGCTGTGGTTCCGGCCGTGCCTCCAGGGCTGTCCAATGGCTGTGGCCCAGGGCGCCCCGGGGGCAGCCGGGAACCCGGAAGGCCGCCTGTGGGCTGCGGTCGCGGCGGCGGCGCAGGGGCGGCCGGGAACCCGGAAGGCCGCCGATGGCTGTGGTTCTGCGCTGCAGGGCAATTCCGGCCTGCTCCCGGCGAGGTAAGATCGATTCCGGCCCTTCCGAGATGGCCACCCGGGCGGAAGCCCGGGCCGCGGTCTTTGGCGGGGCCGTCGTTGCCCTGCTGTCTGCCGCGCTCGCGCTGTTGGGGCCGCCGATGAACGCAGGTACCCGCCGCCGGCCGCTTCTGCTCGGAAGGCCGAGTGACCGTGCGGGGCGCGCTCGGCCCGGGAGAGCCCAGGGCTGACCGCTACGCCCGGCGGCGTGGGCCGGGACGCGGACGGGGTGTGCGCCCGAGCCGGGGGCCAGGCTCTCCAGGACGCGGCGGCGGCGCCGGCCCGGGAGCTCTGGCAGCCCCGGCGCGTCCAGAGGGACGTGTTAGCGTGTTAGCGTGCCAAGGTGTGAAACGCGTGTGTCAGGCGCTGTCACGACGGCACGCGGTGACGCTGGCACCGACTCTCCCTGTGCAAGCACCCAGTTCCTGTCACGAGCTCGTCAGAGGGCCACCAGCAGGGCCGTGTGCCTGCCGGGAATGCTCGGGGAAGGCGGGGTGTCCCTGGCCTGGCTCTGCGCCGGCTCGGGGCAGGAGCAGGTGGGCTCGGGAAGGCAGGCCTCGCCGGTGCAGGGCTCGGTGGCTGCGCCGCCTCCGTGTACTTTTCTCGGGGTTCTGCGTGACTCCTCCTCCTGGGTTGATCTGGGAGGCGTGAGAGGTGTGGGTGGTGGCCCTCGTGTTCCTTTCCCTCTCGGAGTGTGAACGATGCAGCAGCTCAGGCGGCTCCAGCTGCTCGTCCAAGAACAGACTGGTCAATGCTCTTCTAATCTAAAATTTAAAAATAATTTTTTAAATTTATTTGAAAGAATAAGAGAGACATAGAAGGGAGAGAGAGGTCATCCGGGTACTGGTTCACTCCCCAAATTCTACAGCAGCCTGGGCTGGGCCAGGCTGAAGTCAGGAGCCAGGACTCCATCCGGGTCCCCGTTGTGTGTGTCATGGACGAACCTGAGCCCTCCGTGCACTGACCGAAAGTGGAGCTGCTAGGAATTGAACTAGTGTTGTGACATTGGATGCAGCCATCGCAAGTGGTGCTTACCCTGCTGTGCCACAGGCCCCTGGATGAGTTTCTTGAGCAAAAAGTAAAACTGGGGGCCCATGCTGTGGCGCAGCGGGTTAAAGCCCTGGCCTGAAGCGCCGGCATTCCTTATGGGCAACAGTTTGAGACCCCGCTATTCCACTTCCGATCCAGCTCTCTGCTCTGGCCTGGGACAGCAGCAGAAGATGGCCCAGTCCTCGGGCCCTGCACCCGCGTGGGAGACCCAGAAGCAGCTCCTGGCTCCTGGCTTCAGATTGGTACAGCTCGGCCACTGCGGCCATCGGGGGAGTGAAGCAGCAGATGGAAGACCTCTCTGTCTCTACCTCTATTTGTTACTCTGTCTTTCAAATAAATAAAATCAATCTTTTTTAAAAAAAAGTAAAACTGGCAGAGTTACAGGACGGGACTGTTTGATCAGGAGGAGCAGGGACAGCCCTCGGTCTCCGGTGGAACCTGGGACGTGTGTCCAGTTTCCCAGCCAGGGATGGAGCTGGAGGATGAGATTCTGGGGCCGGGTGGTGGTGCGGCAAGTGGGTGAAGCTGCTCGGTGCCCACCTCCACAGCTCAGCGCCCGGCTCGAGCCCCGGCTGCCTGTGTCTGAGCAGCCCCTGCTGATGGTCACCCGGGAGACCCGGGCGGAGTTCTGGGCTCCTGGCTGTGCCCTGGATGTCACAGGCGTTCGGGGAATGAACCAGCAGACTGTGTGTGCGTCGCTCTGCAAACATGCCATTTAAACGAGCGCCTGTGAGGAGGACACATTGTTCCTCTGCCTTATCAGCTCTCCACGCTCCCGCTCTGCCTTACACGTGAGCGCGCCCCTTACTGGCGGGCCGTGGTAAATCCGCGGGAGGTTTTTCGAGGAGGGCCAGCAGAAACCGAGCAGCGCACAGTCGGCTCATTTTACAGGCCGCCTTGAGCCCAGTGAAAGAGTTGCTTTGGCAGCTTATCAGGTTACAGTTCGTTTGTAATGGATAAGCCCCTGCAGATGCGGTTCTCCAGAACCAGACCGGCTGAGGCGGCCCTGGCGCTAACAGGCGCGGTATCCGGCGAGCTTAGTGCTGCGATTTCTGGGCAGCCCCCGCCCGCACACGGCACACGGTGAACACCGGGGGAGCCTCGGCTCTGCCAGGCGTTTGGGCTGCGGGGACGGCGTGTGGTCTCTGCCCCTGAGCGCCTTCATTTTCCTGTTTTCCAGCGCTGCAAAGAGCGTTTTCACCGCGGGCAGCATCCTCCGTGCACGACATGGACAGGACTTCCCTGCTGGTGAGAGCCATCGTCCCCCCTCTGAGCGCCAGCAAGCACAAAGGGCAGGACGGAAGGATCGGCGTGGTCGGGGGCTGTCAGGAGTGAGTGGCGAGTCGGGCGCTGTGTGTCTGTCTGTCGAGTTCAACCCCAGAGTCCTCTACGTGTCTGCCACGCGGCCGGCGTTGTTGGCACAGCAGGTTCAGGTGCTGCCTGCCCATATGGGCACTGGTTCGAGTCCCGGCTGCTCCACTTCTGATCCAGCTCCCTGCTGTGGCCTGGGAAAGCAGCAGAGGACGGCACAGGTGCTTGGGCCCTCAACCACGTGAGAGACCTGGAGGAAGCTCCTGGCTCCTGGCTTTGGTCTGGCCCAGCCCTAGCCATTGAGGCCATTTGGGGAGTGAACCAGAGGATGGAAGACCTCTCTCTCTGTACCTCCCTACCCTCTCCCTCTAATTCTGCCTTTCAAATAAAAGAAATGTTTTTTAAAAACTGTATGTGATAGGATACCAAGTGGTCAACTTTTTGGCGTTTTATAACTGCTAGACTTTCTGATTGAGGAGGAGAGGCCCTGTGGGGCCCCGGTGGAGCTGTCCCCTGGTGAGTCCAGTGCTGGGTGACTGCTTCTTCCTGTTCTGGGCTCTCCCACTCCCACACTGCATACTGTGTGTTCTGCCAGTTCCTGGGGGTCCCCGAGACGGCCCAGCCCCTCCCCAGGCTGTCACCTGGTTTTTACGTCTTGCTGCCGTGTTGGCCGCAGAGACTTGTGGTCTGTGGGGCGCCTGCTGCCTTTGCCCTCCCTCCTGCCTTGTCTCTTGCTCTGTTTCTGGTGCCCCGTGCCCGGCAGGCTGCACCTGGGTCTGTCCTTCGCGGCTTCCCCCTCCGTGGCTCTCTCATGCCCTCTACTTGTTCTGGGAGGCGTGCACGAGTCAGTCCTGTGACACGCCGCATTGGAGCAGGCAGTGTGAAAGTGACAGCCTGTCTGTGCTCAGTGCCCGCTTGTTCCACTGCCGTGGGGAGCACTCTCCTAGGACGGGATGTAGGGTGGCAGCTGGACCCAGGCGCCCAGTGTCTGCCCCAGTGCGAGGAGCAGGGCCAGTGGGCAGCCACAGCAGCCCTGGGGCACTGAGGGTGCTGCACACAGAGCCTGCCGGCGGCTCCACCAGTGAGGACGCCGGGAACAGCGCAGGGGCCCACGAGGGCCGTGCCAGCCCGCTGCCTGCTCTGCCCTCCTGCCCATCGCTGTCCTCCTGCTCGGGACCCCAGCCTCTCCCGAGTGCCCTGAGCGGTGGCCGCCCGCCTCGGCTTGACCACACGGCACAGGGAGACGCGCTCCCGGAAGGCAGCGGCAGGTGGCCGCCCGCCTCGGCTCGACCACACGGCACAGGGAGACGCGCTCCTGGAAGGCAGCGGCAGGAAGGGTTCCGAAGTGCGGGCTTGCCTGCCGAATGGGGGTCTGTGCCGGGCGCCTCGTGTCTGCACTGTCCTCATCAGCTGGGCCTGCGTCCGTGACTGGAGACGTCTCACTCGCGTCTGTCTTCCTAGGTACACCGGAGCCCCGTACTTCGCAGCGATCTCGGCTCTCAAAGTGGTACGTTCGCCCAGAACTCCGCTACGGCGCTCTGGGGGAGCGAGCCGGGTTATTTCCATGTGGGTGAAGCGCACATCCTGATGGAAGTCTCCATAGCATCGCAGAGTCACCGCGGGTGACGCACACCTTCCGCCCGCCCCGACTTCTCGCGCCAGGATAAACGCTTCAGCGTTGAAACCCACTTGTTTTTAAACTGAAATTGTGTTCCCGCTGCACTTCGCCAGCACGGTCCTGGGGGCCTCCGCGGTCCCAGCCTAAGCGGCTGACCCCAGGTGGCCGTGCCCTGCACTGCCCGAGCCCCAGGGCCGTGTCCAGCGGCAGCATGCCGGGGGCCGGGCCCCAGGAGCCCGCCTTTGGTTCAGGTGCTCCCTCATGGCCGCCTGACTGCTGTGGGCTAACATTTGTAGTTTGGTCTGAGGTCAGCGTCGGGGGGTCAGCCACTGGTGCTCCACTTCTGTTCTCGCTCCGCAGGGCGCAGATCTGTCTCACGTGTTCTGTACCAGGGAGGCCGCGCCCGTCATCAAGTCCTACAGCCCGGAGCTCATCGTGCACCCAGTCCTGTGAGTCTGCCCGCACGCGGCTCCCCCGGTCACGTGGCGCTTCCGCTGCTGCACTGGGCATGTCTGCCCAGTGTCTGCTCTGCTCGCAGCCCAAGGTGGCCTGGTCCCACGCTGTCGGGGCCTGGGAGGTCTGCTCAGCCTCCTAGGGCAGTCCTAGTGGGGACGTGTTCCCAGAGCCGCCGGGACTGTGCCCTGGCGCTGGAGATGCGGCGGGTGGGGCTCGGAGCCAGGTGTCTCTTCTGTGCAGTTTCAGTTAAGTCTGCTGGTTCCTCCTGTACTGGGCGGCACCGCCCTGGGGGCAGACAGCGGGACCACGCGGCAGGCGGTGAGAGCTGACGAAGGGGCAGCACAGGCGCACAGGCTGTGTCGGGGCCCAGGGCAGCAGTGCGGAGTGGAGCCACACCAGAAGCCGGCACCGAATGGCGGCCGATGGCGTGTCGGGGAGCACTTGTCTGAGAGACGGGAGAGGGTCAGGTGGGCTCACCGTGAGGACTGAGCAGGGGACGGGGGGACCTCGCCATCAGCTTCCCTGGGGAGCAGACTCCTGTCAGGGTCCTGGGCGAGGGGCAGTGGTGCAGTGGTGGTGAGGAGGGACCCAGGTCCGGGTGTGCTTGAAACATGGAGAAGGTAGCATCGCCATCTAGTGTGCCGGGAAGAGCGGGGAGCAGCATGGGCGGGGGGTGAAGATCGGGCTGGCTTGGGTGTACTGAGACACCCGGGTGGGTGTGGCTAGTAGGCAGCCGAGGGCCTCAGAGATGGCGTCGATTTGGGGATTCTTCTGTTCTGTTCTGTTCTACTGTACTCTACTCTACTCTCACTTAATTTTAAAGTCAGAGTTACAGAGAGAATGTTCCAACTGCTGGCTCACTCCCCAACTGGCTGCAATGGTTGGGGCTGGGCCAGCTGAAGCCAAGAGCCTAGAGCTTCACCAATCTCCCCTGTGGGTGGCCGGGGCCCAAGGACCTGGGCCGTCCTCTGCTCTCCCAGGCGTGTTAGCAGGGAGCTGGCTCGGAAGCGGAGCAGCCAGACTCAAACGGCGCTCATCCTGGATGTCGGCACCTCGGGCGGGTTAACGCCACAGCGCTGGCCCCAGGTTTGGGGATTGTTAACCCGTCCAGGACAGGAGCACACGGTCGAGGAGGGCAGGCCAGGGGCCAGCAGAGGGCAGGCAGGAAGGAGCCTGGAGGGGTTGGGTCGGTCCTGCCTGGCTCCTGGCCCTGTGGGGGCTGAGGACCAAGGATGAGTGACTGCACCTCCCGGGGCAGGAGGGGGTCCCTGGTGACCCTGACAAGGGCAGCCTGTGGGCGGCAGAGGCCTCAGCGGGGTAGGTCGTACAGGGGAAGCAGCGGGGCGCCAGATGGGACCGGGCCATCAAAGGGCGGCAGGCGGCGTCCCCGCGAGGAAGGCAGCGCCAGCCACGGTGGCATGGGGGGTGGGGGTGGGGGGCTAGCTGGAGCTGCCTCCCTACCCAGCACGGGTGGTGGGCTAACCGCGGGCCTCGGGCACAGGTCACTGGGAAACCAGCCGCAGTGTTGAGAGCTAGGGTCTGCACTGCGGCGTCACAGACCACGCCCGTGTCTGGAGGTCAGGTCGGAGGCTGAGTGCAGCGAGGGGCCGGGCCGGGCCGGGCCGTGGGAGTGTTCAGCAACTGCCCGAGCTTTCGGAGCCTCTGTGACTTCTGTCCATCAGCCGCCGTCGCTGCCGTGCCTGAGGGCGCCGTTCTTCCCTCTGTCCAGTGACAGCCCGGCTGCGGTGCAGGAGGTGCAGAAGTGGTTACCCCGGCTGCACGCCCTCGTCGTGGGACCCGGCCTGGGCCGAGACGAGCAGCTGCTGGGGAGCGTCCAGGTGCGGGCCACACGCGCACAGCGGCTTCCCTGGGGGCCTGCTGCGGGGGGGGACACAGATGCACGGCGGCTTCCCTGGGGGCCCACTGGGGGGAGGGGGGACACGCATGCACAGCGGCTTCCCTGGGGGCCTGCTGGGGGGGGACACAGGTGCACGGCGGCTTCCCTGGGGGCCTGCTGGGGGGGGGGACACAGGTGCACGGCGGCTTCCCTGGGGGCCCGCTGCTGGGGGGGGGGGACAGAGGTGCACGGCGGCTTCCCTGGGGACCTGCTGGGGGGGGGGACACTTGCGCATAGCGGCTTCCCTGGGGGCCTGCTGCTGGGGGGGGACACAGGTGCACGGCGGCTTCCCTGGGGACCTGCTGGGGGGGGACACTTGCGCATAGCGGCTTCCCTGGGGGCCTGCTGCTGGGGGGGGGGACACAGGTGCACGGCGGCTTCCCTGTGGGCCCACTGCTGGGGGGAGGGGGGGACACAGGTGCACGGCGGCTTCCCTGGGGGCCCGCTGCTGGGGGGGGGGGGACAGAGGTGCACGGCGGCTTCCCTGGGGACCTGCTGGGGGGGGGGACACTTGCGTATAGCGGCTTCCCTGGGGGCCTGCTGCTGGGGGGGGACACAGGTGCACGGCGGCTTCCCTGGGGACCTGCTGGGGGGGGGACACTTGCGCATAGCGGCTTCCCTGGGGGCCTGCTGCTGGGGGGGGGACACAGGTGCACGGCGGCTTCCCTGTGGGCCCACTGCTGGGGGGGGGGACACAGGTGCACAGTGGCTTCCCTGGGGGCCTGCTGGGGGGGGGATACAGGTGCACAGCGGCTTCCCTGGGGGCCCGCTGCTGGGGGAGGGGGGACACAGGTGCACAGCGGCTTCCCTGGGGGCCCGCTGCTGGGGGGGGGGGCGGGGAGTGCTGCAGGCTTCCTGCCGCCTCTCCGACTGCCTTGAGCTCGCAGCCTGTCCTTGGGGCGGGCGTTGTGGAGGTGGGTGCACCGCTGCTTGGGCTGCCCACATCTGGTGTCGCATTCCCAGTTGGGGTTGTGGCTGCTCCATTTTTTTTTTGTTTTTTTAAGATTTTGTTATTTGAGAGATAGAGTTACAGACAGAGAGAGGGAGAGACTGAGAGAAAGGTCTTCTGTCCACTGGTTCACTGCCCAAATGGACACAACGGCTGGAGCAGAGCTGATCCAGAACCAGGAGCCAGGAGCTTCTTCCCAGTCTCCCATAAGGTCCCAAGCACTTGAGCCATCTTCCACTGCTTTCCCAGGCTATAGCAGAGAGCTGGATTGGAAGAGGAGCAGCCGGGACTCGAACCAGAGGCTTAGCCCACTATGCCACAGCATAGGGCCCCGGCTGCTCCACTATTTTTTTTTTTAAGATTTATTTATGTATTTGAAAGGCAGAGTTACGAAGAGGCAGAGAGAGGGAGGTCTTCCATCTGCTGATTCACTCCCCAAATGGCTGCAACAGACAGAGCTGGGCTGACATGAAGCCAGGAGCCAGGAGCTTCCAGGTCTCCCACGTGGGTGCAGGAGCCCAAAGACCTGGGCCACCTTCTGTTTTCCCAGGCCACAGCAGAGAGCTGGATCTGAACTGGAGCAGCCAGGACTTGACTTGGCACCCACATGGGATGCCGGCATCACAGGTGGAGGCTTAGACCGCGACACCATGGTGCAGGCCCCGGCTGCTCCACTTCTGACCCAGCTTCCTGCTAAAGTGTCCTGGGAGATAGAGGGCTCCGTGCTCGGGCCCCTGCCACACACATGGGAGCTCTCGATGGAGTCCCGGGCTCCTGGCTTTGGCCCAGCTCTGGCTGTTGCCATCACTTAGGGAGTGAACCAGGACATGGAAGTTCACTGTCTCCGTCTCCCTCTCTTTCAAGGAGATGAAAATAAATCAACAAACATTAAAAGAAAAGTTTGTTCTTAAGTGCCAGTGCCTGGAAGACAGCTGACTGGTGTGGGTGCGGGGCGACACCACAGTTCGAACGAGAAGCCGCGATCAGAGACGCTGGGGCAGCGCACTGACTTCTCTCAGCGCCCAGGCGGGTAGGGTTGGCCTGCCGTCCTCGTCATCTTTGTTCTCAGGTCGTGGGGAGCGTTTCTTGCCATCCGTTTTGGAGAGGCCCCAGGCTGTTGGTGGCGGTGGGTCTCTGGCAGTGGCCAGGTTCGGGCTGGTGCCCGCACTTGGTAGGATTCATGTTCACTGTCATCCGTGTCGTCAGCCCTCCTGGGAGGTGGGGAGTGGCCGCTCACTGGTGTGTGCTCACGGAGGTTCTGCCTCCACTTGCCGATGGCCGATGGGCAGCAGCTCCTCCCGGCTGTTGGCCATTTGTGGAGTTCCTTCCTTACCTGAGAGGTGGAGCCAGACAGGAAGATATAGATAATGACCCCACCAGCCAAGGCCTGGCCCGGCCACACGGGCGGCAGGGAATCCTGGGCTGTCTGCTGCCTCCCAGGTGGACTGCGGGCAGCGGGGACGTGAACCGTGCCCTGATACCGGACCCGATACCGGGTGCTGGCATCGCGAGTGCCGGCTTCCCTCTGTGCGAACGCACACCCTCCCTCCGTTCCAAAACCGCTTGCCTGTCTGAATCTCAGAGTTCTTTCCGATGTGTGTTCTGGTAGAGAACCCTCATCACAGACGTGATCCCCATGGCTCTTCTCGTGCAGGGGCCACCCTCGCCTCCATAACGGGTGATCTACTCGATCTTCTTGTGCAGGGGCCGCCCTTGCTCCGTAACGGGTGATCTACCTGATCTTCTAGTGCAGGGGCCGCCCTCGCCTCCGCAACGGGTGATCTACTCGATCTCGTGCAGGGGCCGTCCTCACTCCGTAATGGTGATCTACCTGATCTTCTCGTGCAGGGGCCGTCCTCGCCTCCGTAACGGGTGATCCCCACGGCTCTTCTCATGCAGGGACCGTCCTCGCCTCCGTAACGGGTGATCTACTCGATCTTCTCGTGCAGGGGCCACCCTCGCTCCGTAACGGGTGATCTACTCGATCTTCTCATGCAGGGGCCACCCTCGCCTCCGTAACGGGTGATCTACTCGATCTTCTTGTGCAGGGGCCGCCCTTGCTCCGTAACGGGTGATCTACCTGATCTTCTAGTGCAGGGGCCGCCCTCGCCTCCGCAACGGGTGATCTACTCGATCTCGTGCAGGGGCCGTCCTCACTCCGTAATGGTGATCTACCTGATCTTCTCGTGCAGGGGCCGTCCTCGCCTCTGTAACGGGTGATCCCCATGGCTCTTCTCATGCAGGGACCGTCCTCGCCTCCACAACGGGTGATCCCCATGGCTCTTCTCGTGCAGGGGCCGTCCTCGCCTCCGTAGTGGCACTGTCTGCAGCAGAGTTCTTATCTTGATGAAGTCCAATCTGTTTTCTCCTGTCTCACGCCTCGGGTGTCTCATCTAAGGTTCTGCCTATCCTCAGGTTTAACCTGTGGTTAGGGGAGGGTGTTCCGAGTGGGGTAAGGACGGTCCTGCCTCGTTCCTGTGCATGTGCACATCCAGTTGCTCCAGAGCCAACTGTGGGATCCGCTCCTGCCCGTCGTGGCAGGGCTTCCTCCTGGAAAGTCAGCGGACCTCAACGGGAGGCTTCCCTTGCACTCCGGGTCTATGGAGCCGCCTTCAGGCCGCTTGCTCGTCTGGTTGCTGGGGCCACGCAGGAGCCTCTGAGATGGGAGAGGGAGTCCTTCGCTCACTGGGCTCAGCTCGTCCCCCACAGGGCAGCCAGGGGTTCTGGTGAGGCTCATGTGCCGCTGGGCCGACTTGGAGAGGACTGCGCCTTAACCAGCAACAGAGGGCTTCTCAGCTGTGCAGTGGTTTGGATCCCGAGTTGTCTGATCCAGGGCAGCCGGGACTCGAACCAGCGCCCGTATGGGACGCCGGCGCGGCAGGCGGTGGCTTTGCCCGCTGCGCCCCAGCGCCGGTCCCACTTACTGCTTTTTAACAGCTACGTCACCTACCATGGTTTACTGTGACGTTTCACGGGTTCCCACCCTCAGCTTCTTCCCTCTTGAACACTTCTGTGTTGTCCACTCCGGGTACCTCCTGCAGGACGCGTTTCTGACGTTCCGTCACGGAATGCGAGAGCACAGGCGCGCACACACAGGGTTTGGGTGGCGGGCGGGGCCTCACAGGGCTTGGTGCTCGGGGCTGTGGTGCTGTGTAGGGCTCGCAGGAGGCTGCGGCTACACCGCTGCCCGGTGCAGGAGACACTCGGTGCTGGCTGTGCTCCGGTGTTGGAGTGCTCACTGAGGCGACTGTCCTCTAAACACTGACCAGAGGACACACGGAGGTGACGTCGTCAGGTGTTGCCACTGGCGGCCAGGAGCTCTGAACTGGCAGGAACTCAGTTTAACGTAAGGCCCGAATCAAGGCAAGCAGGCCAGTTGTTGAAAAAGGACATGGATGGCCAGCACCATGGCTCACTAGGCTAATCCTCCGCCTTGCGGCGCCGGCACACCGGGTTCTAGTCCCGGTCGGGGTGCCGGATTCTGTCCCGGTTGCCCCTCTTCCAGGCCAGCTCTGCTGTGGCCTGGGAGTGCAGTGGAAGATGGCCCAGGTGCTTGGGCCCCGCACCCCATGGGAGACCAGAAGCACCTGGCTCCTGCCATCGGATCAGCGCGGTGCGCCGGCCACAGCGCACCGGCCGCGGCGGCCATCGGAGGGTGAACCAACGGCAAAGGAAGACCTTTCTCTCTGTCTCTGTCCACTCTGCCTGTAAAAAAAAAAAAAAAAAAAAAAAAAAAAAAGACACAGTCCTTGTCCACTCAGTTCGCTCCCAGGGGCCATCGCGCACGCCGGGCAGGACTGGGCGGGGCGCGAGCACGGGCCGGCAGAGCAGACCTGTGAGGCCCAGCGGCTCAGGAGTGCAGTCGGCGCTGCGGTGCACCGCAGTCATACAGGGACGTGTGTGGCGCCTCCTGAGTTCTTTCCCCTAGTGTACGCTCTTTCAGTAATTTCTTCCTTCAGTTTCTTTGTACTTATTTTCATTTTCTTTGAAAGAGAGAGAGGTGGAAAGGCATCTTCCATGTCCCGATTCAGTCCCCAGAGGCTTTCGACAGCTGGGGCGGCAGCAGGCTGCAGCCAGGCCGGGCGCCTCCCACTTACTGGGGGACCCCGCCTGCCGCCTCCAGGGTGCCTGTGAGCACGCGCTGGGTCTGAAGCCGAGGAGCCAGGACTCCAACCGGGCAGCCCAGCGTGGGAGGGGGAGCCCAGGCCACTCAGCTGAGGCACCTGCGTCTGTTCTGAGAGTTTTCTGCTGGGAAGTGGAGACCGTCCTTGCAATGTGTAATTGTGCCGGAAGGTATCGGCTCATGACAGCACACAACCATATGTTGATTACATACGGGGCACTTCAAAACGTCTGGAAATGCAGGTTATGAACAGACTGCAAAATTTTTGCACAAAAACTTTTTAAAAAACTTAACATTTTTACTTGAGAGACACAGAGAAACAAATACAGGCCTGTGTCACCCAAATGCCCACACCAGCCTGATGGGCCAGGCTGAACCCCGTAGCCTGGAACTCGGGATGGTTCGTCCAATGCTTGAGCCATCATCTCCTGCCTCTCGGGCTACACTAGCAGGAAGCCGGAGCCAGGAGCGGGGTGGGGACAGGAACCCTGGTGCTGTTCCAGGACGGATGGACCCCCTCACTGCTAAGCCCGTCTTCTAACTCTACTTTGATGTTTTGACGTGCCTGTTTCCATACATACATAGACAGACTTCTAAGAGCAGAAACCCACTTAGACTTAATCCTATCGGAGAAAAATGACTTGCTGTTTTTGTGGTTCATTACCTGAGAACATCTCAGTGCTACTGAAAATACGTATCTCATGACTTCCATTTCTGAATGTGCAGGTTAGCGTCTCTGTGGAGTCGGAATGCTGATGTGGGGGCCTGTGTGGCTGGCCTGGGAACCCGGCCAGGCACGGTGTGTCTGGCGCGTGGCCTGTCTGCGGCTCCTGTCCGCTCAGTGCGTTAGGTCTTGCCTCCTCTCTGCACTTGATGGTTTGCTCCGTGACTTTGTATTGCTTGGCCTGCTGGGAGGTGACGGCCTCGTGTTCTTTCCTAGGGCATTCTGGAAGCGTCCAAGGCCACAGGCATCCCCATTGTCATCGACGCGGTGAGTGTAGCCTCTCCTCTCCCCACAGTGAGCACGGGCCCTCGAAGGCTGCCCAGTGAAGGCAGCTTCGTGTCCTGCACAGGATGGGCTGTGGCTGGTGGCGCAGCAGCCGACCCTCGTCCAGGGCTACCACAAGGCCATTCTCACTCCCAACCACGTGGAGTTCGGCAGGCTCTATGAAGCAGTGGTGAGTCCCTGGGCTCCCCACAGCCCCGAGGGCCCAGTTCTGCCGGGACCCAGCCTTGTATCCTCACGAACCCAGAGACGCGGGCTCCCACGTGCTGATGGCCTGCTCTCAGCGGTCGCCCCTCTGCCCTCCGATGGCCCCTCGGCACGGCGTGGAGGATGGCGGCGTCTGTTTCAGAGGGCCTGTGGGGGTGAAGTGAAGCCACATGGGAAATCGCGAGTCCTCACGCGGGGCATGGCCTGTGAATCCTAAGCCACTGTTTTTTGAGTTTGTGTCCATCAGGCTCTGAGTCCGGCTGGGAGGGGGGTCATCTAACTCTGGTCTGCCCTGGCCGGGGGCTGGCTGGGTGTGGCCGGGCCTCCCTCCACCTGCCTGGCTTTCAGCAGGAGCCCCGTGACTCGGGCCTGAGTGTCCGAGGAGGGCTGGCCCCTCAGGTGTGCCTTGTTTTGCTGTCACAGTTCGGAGGCCCCGTGGACAGTGAGGACCAGGGCGACGCTGTGCTGAAGCTCAGCCAGGCCCTGGGCAACGTGACCGTGGTCCAGAAGGGAGCGCGCGACGTCATCTCCGACGGGCAGCAGGGTGAGTGCCAGCGGGTCCCTGCTGTGCGCCTGGCTCACACACAGCACACACTAGGAGCACACGCGGGCAGTGGACTCATCAAGCACCGTCCCCCATGGGGGCCCGCCGACCTTCAGCCGTGTGCCGGCCAACAGGCCTGGCACAGAGCGAGTGTGTGGCAACAAGTGCTCCTTCGTCCAGATCCGGTCAGGCGACAGCGGGGACAGAGGAGGGGAAGGAACTGTTCATGACTGGAGTCAGGGACAGGCAAGTGCAGTGCCCTGTACACGCACACGCAGGGCCGTGCCCAGCAGGTGTGGAGGGCGTGCTCACGGGCGCCCTGCTCGGGATGGGGCTCCTGCCTCCCCAGGAAGCTCTCGGTTGACACACTCAGAGAACACAACACTTGGTTTTCAAAATATGCCCAGAGAGACAGAAACACGTCACAGGCATGGCCGGGACGGTCGTGCGTGCAGACATCGCCCCGGGTGGCAGGAGTGCTGGCGTGTCACCCAAAGGGCAGGAGACCCATCTGCCCGCCTCACTAAACCAGAGGCCGCCTCGAGTCCTTGCTGGGGACAGACAGGAAGGAAGGCCTCGCCACGGGGGGTGTGGCAGCGGCGTCCACACTCACGTCCTCTCGTCTGCTCTGTGCAGTGCTCGTGTGCAGCCGGGAAGGCAGCGGCCGCAGGTGTGGCGGGCAAGGAGACCTGCTGTCGGGCTCCCTGGGCGTCCTGGCGCACTGGGCCCTCCTCGCTGGCCCAGAGAGAACACACGGGTACGGTACAGCCTCATGCCCCCTTGGGAGCTGCCTGACCTCCCCAGTGGCTCAGCAGCTCCCGCCTCGCCAGGGGCCCCTGACAGATCCCACGTGAACCACTCGTGTGGGCGGCGGCACCAGAGCGCCCGGGGCAGCAGCCCCTGCCCGGCACTGCCCGGGCCCTGTCCCTGCAGTTACTGTGGTGGGGCCCAGTGCTGTTGTCAGAGCTCCGTGGACCACCAGGGTGCCCGTCTCCCACCGTGCTGGTGGCTGGTGCTCCACAGGTGCTCTCAGACCTGCCCGTGGAAGCCAGAGGGGGCAGCCCCCCCGCACGTCCTCTGGGGAAAGGCGCCGAGGGTCTGTCTGGCCCCCCCCTCCCCGCACGTGCCTACGTCCTCAGACCGCGGGTGTCCCTTCCCAGCTGTGCCGTCAGCAGTCGCAGAGCTGGCTTCCCCAGGCGCGCGTGGCTCTTGGCTGCCAGGGCGGGCCAAGGCCGAGGGCGCAGTCCGAGCCCCTGCTGGCTGCAGCCCCCGCTGACGCCGCTCCCCCCGCAGCCCCAGCCCGCTCCTGCTGGCCGCCTTTGGCGCCTGCTCCCTCACCAGGCAGTGCAACCAGCAGGCCTTCCGGAAGCACGGCCGCTCCACCACCACCACCGACATGATCGCCGAGATCGGAGCCGCCTTCAGGGAGCTCTTCGAGACCTGAGCCGCTGTGACGGGCGTGCAGGCTGTCTGCGAGGGCTGTAGTCGGGCGGATGTGCAACAGGGAGCGTGGCGTGCGATGACACTAAGGTCTTCCTGAACTCTGCTTAGCTTCCCGGCGTCACCAAACAGACGTGAAGGCTGCACCGTTCCCTCCCCAGCCGCGTCAGCGCTCCGTCGTGGTCCTCGTCCTCCCCAGCAGGCCCGCCGAAGGCTGTGGCACCCACCCGTTGTGCGTAGTGACTGGGTGCTGATGGTTGTGGTTAACTTCCTGTTTCCGAATAAATCAGCTAAGAAATCATGGGTGACGCCATCACGTGGGGACTGTGGGGCGTGCTGAGGTACCTGCGGCCCTGTGCAGTGTTGTCCACGGCCGCACACCCAAGAGTCCCTGGGCTCAGGGACCACGCAGGACCAGGAGGGGCGCGGTGGGGCCTGGATCCGGACCTGGGCAAGCAGGTCAGACACTGGGGGCCTGCACTCCTGCTGGGGCTGGTGGGCCAGGGGGGAAAGGCTGCTGTCACACCCTGTCTCGTGTGTGCGACTTCAGTAAACGTGACCTCTGCACTGTGGACCTGGGCGAGCTGTGCCGTGTATGTGTGTCCGGTTCCCTTGGAGTGGCCCCTCTGCTGTCCCGGGTGGGGTCTGCACTGCATGTGCGCCTGTGTGGACTCAGGCTCTGCCCTTGGAGATGCTGACCCGGTCCAAGTTTAAGAAAAATCACTGTGCTGGGGTGTGGCCAGGAGCTAGGGACTCAATCCAGGGCTCCCGTGTGGGTGGCAGAGACCCAGCTATGTGGGCCATCCCCTGCCTCCAGGGTGTGCGCTAGCAGGAAGCTCTGGTGAGACCTGGCCGCGCGGCCTCGGGGGGACGCCCACCTCAGCCTGTTACTGTCCACACATGAGCTTTTCCAGACACTGCCCTGGATGTCCCTCCCAGAGCTCTGTGCTTCCTAGGCGAGGACATGGTCAGGTGTGGGAAGGTCAAAGTTCAGGAGCCTGTTCATCACCCGTGCCTCCCAAGCCCGCTGCCGTGGATCTGAACAAACCTGACACAGGCCACACGCAGCCAACGAGCCGCGGAGCCGCACCCGCTACCCCTGGGGGCGCTCCCTGGGGCCAGGCTGGCAGCCTGGTGGCCGTGTTGGGGCCTCCGCCTCCCAGGACTCAGCAGGCTGGGTGGGCGACCCCCACCCTCTGCCCTGAGTCACCGTCTGGGTCTGGCACTGCAGTGAGGCACCGAGGCCGAGGACAGTAGCGGTGCGTTTATTGCTGCGGCTCAGCCCCCGGCCGCTGCGGCTTTGTCCTGGGCTCCAGCAGCTCCCACGTGGATGCCGTGCTGCTTCTGTCCTGTGAGGAAGGGGAGGGCCCGTGAGCAGATGGGCGCCGCGCTCCAGGGCCGACAGCAACACCGCAAGCTTGAGGGGACGTCCGACCAGCTGCCCCCAGGCTCCCTGCCTGCCCTCCAGGAGGCCAGTGTGACCTGTGGGGGTGGGTGGGTGGGTCGCTGGCAGGGCCTGGTCCTCGCTGCTGACCCTCCGTGCCCCTCCCCCACCCCCTTCCCTGGGGAGCAGGGCCCCGGGGTCTCCTGGCCCCTCAGCCGCTCCGACACCTGTTGACTCTGCTTCTGGGTGGTGGCCGCGCTGACCTTTAATGCTGATGCAGTGGGCAGCCAGGGTCCCGGCGCCAGCTCATCGCAGGCCTGCAGCAGGGGCCGCCGTTCCTGGAGCTGCTGTCGCCGGGCCTCCCCGCTGGCCTCAGGCGTGGCCAGCGCGTACTGCCGGACCTTCAGCCGGAAGCGCACCAGCTCCTCCACCACGCTGCGCAGCGCAGCCGAGCTGCCGTCTCCTGAAACACACTGCGCACACCCGCCACGCTGCCGAGCCTGGCGAAGACTGCCTGCCCCCGCTCAGGACCCCGCAGGGACAGGGGTTGCCGGCAGCCATCTCCACTCACCACCCACCCAGCTGATGGCCCACTTGGAGGTGGGAGGGCCGGCAGGGGAGTGCACGGTCCCGTCCCACGCACCCGCCCGCCTGTACACTGAAGGGGCCCAGGAGGCCGCTGTGGGGCAGGGTGAGGCCGACGGGGGCAGCCAGCTCCAGCCTCCCCTCCCTGGAGCTGTCCTTCACAGTGCAGGTCCCTGAGGAGAGGTGCACGGCCAACCTCATGGACCCGTGAAACCAGGACGCATGGCCCCCGGTGCCTGCAGCAGCGTGGACGCCAGGGGGCTCAGCCACCAGCTGGATGAAGATGGACGCAGCTGCACCCAGCTGCAAAGCACGGAAGGGGCAGGTGTCCTCTCCCGCACACCCCGGAGCGGTCAGCAAGGGCTCGCGTTCGCACCACACTGGGGTCCCACTTCTCAAGCCTCACACAACCCTCGACTTGCTTCCACAAGACGGTTCTCGCTGTTACAAACAGGCCAGGCTGGGGACGCTGAAGGAACCGCTTCTGACAGGGCAACACCCTTCCTTACCAGCAGCAGGGCGTGGGAAGGGCCACACGCGGGGCTGGTGCAGCCCGACACGTGAGCCCTGCCACAGCTACACCGCCCGCGTGGAGCAGGCGCAGAAAGGACCAAACTGGACACTGCCGCAGTCGCCAGGGTCAGAGGTGGCCACAGCCTTCCTGACGGCCGCTCACGCCCGGTCCTCGGCCGGCAGTGCTGTGGAACACAGGGAGCGGCCGGGCCGAGGGTCTCTGGCACCCCTGAGGGGCTCCACTGCCTTCAGTCAGAAACAGGCACGCAGAAACTCCTGGGGGTCCCTCAAGCCCTGACCGGGGTGCACCCACAGGTTGGGTGGCAGCCTTGGGGGGTGCCAGGGTCCACAGGGAGCCTGTGCAGGAGGGTCTGGAGGGTGGGATTCTCCCAGCAGGGGGAGGGAGTCACCTGCAGTAGGTGGGGGTCATGGTCATCCAGGGGCTCGGTGCAGAAACCAGTGTATGTGCAGGCGTGTGTGTGTGTGTGTGTGTGTGTGCGCGCGCCCACGCGCACAGCCCCTACACAGCAAGCAACACACAGACCCCTGCATCTCAACACCCTGCTCCGCCAAGAAGCGGCTCCCCTAGAAACGGCCAAGCCCACGTCCTGGCTCGTCTCCAGGAATGCACAAGGACATCCAAAGAATGACGGGGCCGTCAGGTGGACAGGGCCGGCTCCCAGCCACGTAATGCAATGACGGTGGTGGGCTTACCCAATCAAACACAGCTGGGACCTTGTGTCCCTGTAGCTGTGAACACCGGAGTAAAATCAGCCTGGCAAGGCGTGGACCCAGTGGGAATCCACCAGGAAATGCGGCCAGCCCAGCCGACCACGGGCCCGGGGAGCAGCACCAGGAGGTGGCGCCAGGGGCACTCCTGCTGGTCACCTGGTGAGCCGGGCGGGGAGCCTGTGATGTTCCTCCCAGGAACACAGCCTGACCCGGCCCCGGGCAAACGTCACACCTAAATCAAGGATCCATGCAGAGACTGGCCTGCGCTGTCGGGAGGTCGAGGGAAACCTGGAGTTTGTCCCACATGGATCCATGTGCATGCAGTGGTTACTGGGGTCAGCAGAGACGCCCAAGGGGTGTATGGGGCCAGAACTCTGTTTGCAGAAAACATGGAACGGGCAGGGGCTGGGGCTAGCAGGGGCTCAGGAAGAGCGAGCGTCCTCTTATTGCAGTGACCTCTGTACACAAGGCCTGTCAGGGCGACACAGCGTGTGCACACGGGACAGCCTCACACAGCCACACAGTGTCAGGGCGAGACACAGCGTGTGCACACGGGACAGCCTCACACAGTGTCAGGGCGAGACACAGCATGTGCACACGGGACAGCCTCACACAGCCACACAGGGTCATTCACAGTGGCTCCGAACAGTCAGTTCTTAGGGAAAGGAAAGGATTCTCGGTACCTACACAAATTGGCACGAAATTAGCTGTTCAAATGGACATTCCACCAGGAAAGCCGGCAGCTCCAGAACCAAGCATTTAAGGAGGACGTACCTGCTGCTGTTGATTTGTCAGAGAAATCCCAACGGTTGAAAAAAATTCTTCAACGTAGGAGATGATGGCACCGAACACAGCAGGGCTTCTTGGGCCGCTGGGTTCCTGTAAGACACAGCCCGCGGAGCTGTGGGAGAGTGTGAAGGTGCCACCCACGATGACCACACCCCATACCAACGCCAACTGGAGTCCGGCTGCTCCACTTCCTGTCCAGCTCCCGGCTAATGCACCCAAGGAAGAGGCAGAGGACGGCCCACATGCTGGGCCTGCACCCCCAAGTGGGAGACCCGGATGGAGTTCCAGGCTCCTTGGCTTTGGCATGGTTCAGCCCAAGCCACTGTGGCCATTGGGGGAGTGAAACCTGCAGATGGAAGACCCTCTGTCCTCCCCCTAAACTCTGCCTTTCAGATAAATCAATCTGAGAAAAACACACCACAACGGCTCAGCTGTGCAGCAGCCCGACGTCAGTGTGCAAAGGAGACTGGAGGACAACAGCAGGGAGTCGCTGTGGCAGGCGGGGCACAGGCTGTCTGCGCACCTGCAGCACACGCATGAGCGCAGGCCCGGCTCATCAGCTCCTGCAGGGTAAGGGGACCAGGAGCAGCTCACGGCGTGTGGTACGCGGAGGGTGAGGGGAACATGGTTGGATTTCTGAGCAAGAAGCGAGCTTTTGAGGTAGACTCCTGTTGTGTGTGAGCCGTGGCGTGGCAGAGGCTGGGGCCGAAAGCGCTGGTGCCACTGCCCTGCTGCTCGGCCCTGACGCCCTACATGGTGGTGCCAGCACAGGGCAGGGAGGTGCCGGGCCGGCCCCTTCCGGCACGGGGGCTGCAGGACTGATACGCGTCCCTGCCCAGTGACCAGCCCGGGCCATCCGCAGCACTCGGGACCCCACCCGCCTGCTGGTCACTCGGACATAAAGGCCAGTGCTCAGTGTGGCCAGTGTGGAGGCAGGTTTGGACCAGAAGCCCCTGTGCGGTGAACAGCATGAAAGGCACAGGGT